GTCTCAACCAACTTATTCTGTAATGGAGTTGTTTCAATTGATAAATCAATTTGGACATGTTTCTGGTTTTAAAGTTAATAATAATAAGACTAAAATATTGCCAAAAAATATGACTAATTTGGATAAGGAGACTTTAGTTAGATTAACAGGTTTTGAAGTTGTCAATAAGGTAAAATATTTGGGGATATTTTTATCAGCTTCTAATGCAAAATTGTATAAAAATAATTATGAAAGGTTGTGGCTTAAAATACAAAAGGATTTAAACAACTGGAAAAAGTTGCAATTATCTTTGTTGGGGAGAATAGCAGCGGTTAAAATGAATGTTTTGCCAAAGTTTCTTTTTTTATTTCAAATGATACCTATTTTGAAGAAAGAGGCAAACTTAGATGAATGGCAAAAAGGTATTAATAAATTTATTTGGGCAGGGAAAAAACCAAGAGTAAAACTTAAAATCATACAAGATGTACGAGAGAGAGGTGGACTCAAGGTACCGAATTTGAAATTGTATTATGATGCTGTGGTTTTAACATTGATTAGTGATTGGATTAATTTAACAAATGTAGATATACTCCTTTTGGAAGGGTGGGATTTATTATATGGATGGCATGCCTATTTAATCTATAATAAAAAGGTGGATAGGGCTTTTAAGTCTCATAGTTTAAGAATTTCTTTACTTCGAGTGGAAGAAATACTACATAATAAATTCAAGAATTCCATTATGGACTATTCCAGGGCATGCAATAGAAGGAATAAGGAAAGGAGTGAAGATGGATAGTATCTCTTATAAACAATTACCTAATTGGGATGGGAAAAATTGGCAATTAAAACTTATAGATGAATTAGCACAAGAAAATATTAATTACTCGTGGTTTCAGTACAGACAATTATTGGAAAGGTGGAAGATAGATTATAAAGTGGGTTTGATTAGAGAGGATGAGAATTTGTTGAAACAAATTAAAGATCAAAGTCGAACTCATATAAAAAGAATTTATGGCGTATTAGTGGAAATGGATTCAGAAACAGAATTAGTTAAAGATTGTATGGTTAAATGGGCTCAAAATTTTGAAGAACCGATTTTATTAGATACATGGGAGACAATTTGGGTGAGGAATGTTAAATTTACACAAGCTCAAAACTTACGGGAAAATTTTTATAAAATGTTTTATAGATGGCACCTTGAGCCACAAAAGATGTCTCGTATGTACTCAAATTTGCAACCTAAATGTTGGAGATGTGGATGCAACGTATTATCATATTTGGTGGTCATGTAAAAGTATAAAAATTTTTTGGATTAAGATATGGTGGAATATTCAAAGAATTTTTAATAGAAGGATAAAATTTACACCACAATTGTTTTTGTTAGGTATTGTATCTGATTGTGATGATAAAGAAATTATTTTAATGCTAAACTTAATTACAGCGGCAAGGTTGTTGATAGGACAATATTGGAAGAAGGAATTTTTGCCAACTTTGGAGGAATGGTTTTTTAAAGTTTCTTATTTATATGAAATGGCAAAAATTTCGGCTTATTTGAAAGATCAAATGCAAGAGGAATATTTATTGGTGTGGAAAAGATGGATAAACTTTATACAGTATAAGTATGATATTAGAAAATATTATTTAGCTTTTGAATAATCTATATTTAAAGTTTAAGATAATGATTAGAAATGTAGATTTGTTTTGTCTTTTTTTCTTCTTTTTTTATATATATTGGAGTTACAAGTATTCAAAAATTTGTTTTTTGAATGTAGTTATATTTGTTTGAATTGTATTTAAGTTTAAATGGTTTTTTTTTTAAAAAAATTCTAGTTAACCCTGTATTCAGCTCTGGGAAGAAGGGGGGAGGGTTTTGGGGGGGCTGGGAGGGAGTGGGTAAGGGATTTTATTGTAAAATTGTAAAAATTTATAATAATAAAAAAGACCTAATTATGGTAAAGAGATTGACTATTTGATATTGCATATTTTAACAGCTGCAAGGATAGTATTTGCCCAATTTTGGAAAAATGAGAACTTACCATCTGACCAGATTATAATTACTAAAATTTTAGAGTGTGCAGAAATGGATAGACTAACATTAGAAATGGATAGACTAACATTAGAAATGAAAGAAAAAGATGATTCAATTTATTTTAGAACTTGGGAAAAAAATTATCAATGGTTAGAGACAGGTTAGAACTTGAAGGATTTAATATTTTAGAATAGATGATGGATTTTTAACCGAGTTCTAACTAACATTTTGATGATATGATTATTTTTTCTGATTTATTGATTTTCATTTGTTACTTTTAATTGATAGGATTTTTTGAGATTTTATTAATAGTGTTTACTTAATAGAGTAACATATTTGTTTACTAATTGTTCTTAATATGTTATAGTCTAAGCTTCGTAAAAATGGTTGAATATGATATTTACTCATTATTATGATCCGTATGGTAGCTTGCTTGTTGAAATACATGATTGTACCTATCCTTATTTTACCCTAAACCCTTTATTCCCTTCCCCTTCCCCTTTCCTCCCACCCCCTCCCTTTACCATACCTGTATTGTTCCTATTTTTCCTCATCTACATAAACTTAATAAAATTTTGTTAAAAAAAAAAAGTAGTTTGAAGGTCAAGTCCATCTCATCTCCAAACAATAATCAGCAGTTACAATGTTAACTTTTCGCCACTAGATGTCCTCAGGAGATTAAACAAATCTTTTCCAGACACCATTTTTTCCCTTTTTTTTATCTTTGAAAAGGTGGAAAAAGAAATAATCTTCCAGTGTAAAATAACAGTACAGCTCTTAGAAAAGAGTTTTTTCTGTACCCCAAATGAGAATAAGGTGTAGTCTTTAAAAAATTTTGTTCTATCCTTTTGCTCAGCACCTTTCTTCCCATGCATACAAAAGCTGCCTTTTCAAGACAGGGAAATAATTCCAACAAAGCTTTTACAGCCAAAAAAAAAAAAAAAAAAAAAAAACAGAATAGGGCAGTGGTGGTGAACCTATGGCACGGGTGCCAGACGCGGCACTCAGAGCCCTCTCTGTGGGCATGCGTGCCTCGCCCCAGTCCTAGGCCTTCAGTTGGGTTTTATAAAACCTTTTCGCTTTAGGCTTCCATCACCGTGTACAAAAAAAAAGGTTCAATCAATCAGTCAATTTCAACTTCTCGTGGGAAAAAAAGATCTTGCAAAGTTGGAATTTATTGATTGAACTTTTTAGTCCCACCACTCTGCAGTTATCACCGCAGCCATGCCCACCCAATGGGCCACACCCACCCGGCACCCGACGATGCATAAGTGGGTTTTGGGTTGCAGTTTGGACATTCTAAAAGGTTCGCCATCACTGTAATAGGGTGAAGAGAAGAGCAGAAGGGGTCTCACCCAGCTCATCCGTGGTGGGTCTATTACTTTTAGATGTACTTGTGACTTTTGGCTGGTGCAGCAGGGTAATCGGCCATGTTGCAGGACGATCTTTGCTCCGTCGGCCCTAAGGAGATAGCTGGAGCCACGAGAGAAGCTGCCGCCCTCCCGCAGTCACCAGCAAGCCTCTTCCTCGGTGGTTGCCCCTCCAGGGTGACCTTCAACCCACTAAGGGGTCTACTGGCAAAGAAAACCCAGCTGGTGTGGAGACGAGTCTCCAGACATGACCAGCATCGCCGCGTACCGGAACTGGAAGTCAGGGAGTCTAGGACTATCTTCATCATGCCGATCACCTGCTCCAGCAACCGGCTCGAATGCCCCAATCGTCCTTCTTCCTGACACCCATCGACCACCGAGGGTTGTGGTTGTGCACCTCTACTACCTCTTCTTCTGATGAGTAGGTAGTCTCAGAGCTGAATAGTTTGCTGGGATCCGGCCAGCAGGGGGGTTCCCCTTTTGAGGTGGATTCTTCTTTCCCTGCTCCATTGTCTGACATGGTCTTGCGAAGTCCCCCGGTAAGGGCTTTCCTTTTGGGCTGACTATTACTGCAGATCCTGTCTAATGTCAGGAGGATGATAGAGGAAAACAAGGCAATAACCCTCAAGTGCTTCTCCCCTCCAGGAGTATGGCAGAACCCAGGGAGAGAAGAGAATGTGGTTCGGGTTTAGAAAGAAAAGGAAAAGGAAAAGGAAAAGGCCCTTTAGAATATGGGTTCTGACACAATAAAAAATTCTGTTCCTTTTTTGTCTCTTATTTATCAAATTTATATGGCCACCCATCTCACAAGAAATTCTGGGCAGAATAGCCTTTGTAATAAATAACTAACTTACTATGTATCTAACATTTTTTCCAAATTTAAAAAATCCCAAAAGACTTTTCCAATGCTAAGCCTGGATTCAAAAGTCAGATCTTTTAGACGTATTTCAGATTTCAGTTATTCTGTCCAAGGATTCCTGAATTCCTCAAGTAGGATACATGATCTTATATATATCTTAATGTATGCATATGATGTATGGATGTGAGCAAGGAGAAGTGTGGCCTATAAGATTCAAAAGGAAGAATCCATAAAAGTATACATATTAGGGCCCACAGAGTGATCTTAAATAGAAGTAGCACACAACTTCATACTTCTGAATATGATTTTGACTTCTACAGGTATGCCCACTCTGCAAATGAGGAGGAGCCTTTGAGGGCTAAACTAAAATCTCAGGAAGGATCATATACTGCAGGTATGTCAAACTTGCGATGTCATGTGATGTCGCACAACATATTGCGACTTTTTCCCTATTGCCGGCAATGGGGTAGGCGCGGTTTCAGCGTGACATCACAGAACAATTATTCCTAATTGATAAAGTATCTACTAGTTAATGGTGATTCTACAGAGGCAGGTGGCCTGACATTACAGAAAACATACCATTGATCAAGTTTTATACTGAAGACAAAACATACCAAAACAAAAAGAGAAAGTTTAGAAAGTTCTTGTTACTTAATACCCTAAAACCATTGAAAAATGTGTGCATGTCAGTTTACTATACAAATCTCCAATTAACTTATCAGGGATGGTAAAATTCTTGCAACTTTATCGCAGACTTACTAACAATTCCATTTTCTTTTTCACAAGCTGATGACTTGTTGCTGCAGCTGGACCACTATTACAAGACTGTTCAACTTCCACTTGTTGATTTCTGGCTTCCTGTTGCTCAGCCTTCTCCAGAGGCAATAATGCTGCTCCATCTGACAATTCCAATGTTTCTTCGATCTTCTGAGGTGCCTTTTTCTGCTGCAGACATTGGTGGTTTTTGTTTACTGAAGGCCCTTGTGGATCTAAAAAGCACAAATAGGTAGATGTTGGTTTTACACAGCTGAAAAATATCACTTCTCCCAAGGAAGCGAATAAAAGAAAAACATGTCCTGCGTTCAGCCCTCATAAAAACTATTTAAAATACTTTAAGTTGGCATGACATTAACTGATATAAAAGATAAAAACAAACTATTAACACAAACTACTAAGAAATACATGTCTGCAGCTCCTGCTAACATTACAAGTAGTACATGGGCCTAATTTGCAATATATGATTAACTTTCTTTAAACCCATCAGTTCTTTGTTGCCACACTTTCATATATCTATGAGAAGAGAGTATTTCTATACAAATAGCAGAACTTTTGCATTTTTATTTAAAAGAACTGAGACTTACATAGAGACCAACACTAATTTTGGAATCAAGTGTTTTTGGAACAGCATCATGGCAACAGTTTTTCTTTTTAAATTAGTGTAAATAAAGAACATGAATTAGGGATAGGTCCTTTGCATCTTCACTCCCCACCTCTGCCCAAATAACAATACCAGTATTTTGCCATGATTATTAGCCACACAAGTTCAGGCTGATGTAAGTTTGTGTCAAAAACCATGCAGAGGCTAACAAATTCTCCATTCTTACTACTTCACTTTCGGAAAGACAATTCATTATATTATTTTATTGTTTTCTCTAGGAAAATTTTGCTTCAGCTGAGATTAAGATTGGCAGATGATGGAAAAGTCTGCAAGGTCCCAGAGACTCTCAAACTCTGGTTTCTTAAATTGGCTTTGGTCTGAGAGATTATTTAGGTCTTGGGTAAATAGTTGCCAAGGAACCCAGTTCTACTCTTTTTCCAAGGCACTTTCTTTGAAGCTCTTTCTCACCCATAAATCCCCCCCCCCCCGAGAATATTGAAGATTCGTAGGGGAAAGTTAATATCTAAAGTACCTGTTGCCTTGTATAAAGTTTTACAAACTACGCAAGAGAATAGTTCTCCCTATTTTGTGGCATTTATTAGATTTATATACCACCTTTATTCTGAGTAACTCAAAGCAACATAAACAGCAAGCGCTCTTCTATTTTCTCCATAACTTATAAGGTTGCGTGCCTAAAGGAGGACTAGCATTTATGGTCTCTTGGTTACTAGTCCAGCATTTTAACCAAACCGACTCTTTAGTTTGGCCTGAATCTTTCAACGATCTATTTTGACATTCATTAGCACAATAGCCTTTTCTTAATCAGAAATTTTGCAAATAATGCTAGCTCCCCTGCGGCAAATAAGTCCAGGGATCTCCTAGTTCATCTTTGCTTTCTCTACATACCACCCGACGTATTTCCTTAGAGAAAGCTCTTCTGAAATTAAGAGGATTATTCCCATTCTGGCAGACAACCGGAGCCTATGTGATTCGCGCATCTCACCCCCACCCCGGGGAGATGACATCAGAGGAGAGGAACCGATGAGCTGCTTTGAAATCCTGGAATCCCAGCCGATTAGTTCTCAGCCAGTTCCAGCAGCCCAGGCTGCTCCTTGCTTCCACTAGAGCCGCTGCTAACATCTTTCCTCGCTGGGGTTACCTTTGCGATGCCCCTGAAGCCGCCGAAGCTCCTGCTCCGAGAATCCGACCCAACCCCCTGCCATAGTGCCTCCTACCTCCGCCTTCCGCTGCCACGTCTCCAAAACCCGCCCCGTGTCTTGGGAAAATCCGGTCTTCCTTGAGGCCTCGCGCGGTTTGCTGAGCGTATACATGTGCAGCCATGGAAACGAAAGGCATCTCTGCTTAGCGGCCTCGCCTCGTTTTGCTTCGGGTGGAGCGCCATATCCGAGGCGGCGATTTCGTTCCGACTGCTGAGTCAGCGAACGCGAGCTCGAGTCAGCCACGGGTAGCGACAGTTTGCCGCGCGCCGCCGTATCTGAGCAACAGATTGCGCGGCGGTGGAGCGCAACCCTATCGCTTCTAAACTCTGATTGGTGGTGCTAGTTTGTAGGTCTCATTAAGGACGTGAGCTTGCAAATACCGAGATGAAGAGGGCTCAGGACCATGCTTAGGTGGCCCAAATTTTCTCGATTCGCAGAATACACTGAATTCTGCTTTCATTCAGTTCCCTTGCTACGAATGCGACTAGTAGTTGGTGGCTCAGTGTGTCAGCTGAACATAAATCCTTGTTTTCGAAGAAGAAACGTCTTAGGAAGTGGCTGCTTCTACTATATCGAAGAAGAATTTTAAGCACAGAAACTCTTTTCTTGTAGAAAAACGTAAGAGACTTTTACGAATTCCAGAGGGTGTTAGCAGAGAGATTTATTTTGTGCAAGATTCAGAAGCAATTAACAACCAGCAATTCTGAACAAAGAGGGTGGGTTTAAACTACAGTTTTATACTTTCCATTTCTCAGGAACAAAGAACCATACATAAATCTACATTGTATTTCCTTCGGTTAGTTTCTCACAGGCATACAATGAAGAGAGTTTTGCTTCATACAATGTTTCTAAATGCCCTGCGTATTTGGTTAGTCACAGATTGCTTGCACAGCTTTATTCCAGTAACTATGCAGACGCATCATTTTTCTTTTAGTGATTTTTCATTATCATTATTCCACTTTATTCTACTTTATTCTTCATTATTCTTTATTATTCCACTTTATTCTACTTTATTCTTCATTATTCTTTATTATTCCACTTTACTTTGGGAAGCTGAGGGACTGATGCATAAAGACAGGTGCACTAGTGGACTGCAGCTGGAAACATTCTTATAATGTTATGCTGCAAAATGCCATTGGGGCTGAACTTCACCAGCTTCCATCATTATTACAGTATTATGCATTAAAATAGGGCAAGGCAGGGTTTGGTTGACATCAAGGATAGAACATTCAAAGATGCCACATTATGTTACCTCAGGTTTAGTGTAATTTCTGAACTCGATAATTATAAAACATATGCAAATATCACATTTGTTTTGAATATCAGATGGAATTCTGCCATAAGTGGAGGTCACCAGTCCTTCCCCCTTCCATCCTCTTATGTCCACACATAAGTTTATTGAAGAATATTTCTCAGTCTTCTGCTTTGTTTTGTACATATGGAATAAACTTTCCCACTACTATATTCCAGATGCTAACTTCTTTCCAACTTGAGCATACCTTCTCATATAATTAGCATGATGTCTTTAGGTTGTATCACAAAGTGCTGCAATTTACCATAGCACTATTCAATTTCTGCTTTCTCTGCATTTCTGGTTGGAATATAGACTTGGAACACCATACTGTATGACTGAGTGACTTGACTTGGATTCAAATTGAAATTTTGTTATCATTTTTAGATTTTGATACTCTTTTGCTAAAAATTATGCTATTTCACTTCTATGACTTTCTTCTCTGCAAGAGAAGATTTGATTCTCTTCTGATATTTATGGCAAAAATGTCTTTACAGCTCCTAACTTCTCTTTTCCTCTGGGCATTATAACCAGCAGGATTTTGTGTTTTAATCAAGCCACATCATAAATCTTGGTGCTATTTCTACTTGCCTTCTGCTCTTCCCCAACATCTTGTTAATTATCTTCCAATCTGGGATGATGGTGGTTGTGATTTATTTTTCAGTATCATGTCATTGTCTGATTGCGAATGGATTTGGATTTGGTGATAGACTTCTGAAGTAGATTGGCACTTCTAGTAGACTATGTTCAGTCTGATCTCTTGTCTGTGACCGGTCGGTCATGAATTCTTTTGAAAGAGTACACTCCCAGTGGTACAGCTCATAATGTCATTAGGATGTGGAAGTTCTTTCCTCACTACAAGGTCAGGATCTATAAAGGGGACATCAAAGTAGAGGTAATTTATTTCTAAAGCTGCAGTTCTTTGAACGTTTACTGGAAGTAATCATTCAGAGCATAGTGGCTTTACTTTGAAGGAGACACACATGATGAGGGTGCAAGATAACTAGGTAAATATATTGCAGGTCCATACAATTATGACTTCTAGATAGCAGTGGAAAACTATAAATAGTTGCATGTTTAGCCTGATTCTAAAATACACATACTCAGAGGTAAGCCTGACTGAGATGGCTTCAATCCTGTGAACCTTCAAATTTTCCTCCCCCTCTCATTAACATGTACAAGATCAAGCTATTTGTTATAATAATCCAGCAGGCTACAGCATAACTAATACTGCTTATGCTGCAATGTGGATCTTAATAATATGCCATCGTGCCCTTCACAGTTCCACACTTGTCAGATCTGTAAAGGATTAGCAGAGGCTCTAAAGTTCTGCCATTTCAGAGACCTTTGAGGAATATTCATAACTGAATGACCATGTATAATCCCTGAGATTTATCTCTGAAACATTTTTAACAGCTTCTGCATGACTAACACAACCAATATGTACATTCACAGTACTTATTCTCAAAAGAGAAAGAAGGCTCTGGCAGTCACACTCAATATCCTAATTACATGGTGGATATATGTTTATTTGGAAATAAGGCCAATTGATTGCTTAGAATTGTAGGTTTTCAGCCCATGCAATGTGTGTCTACTTAGAAAAACAGCCTGTTTATACTTTGTGGGGTTTTACTGTCAGATGAGCATAGTCTCAAAATGATTTGACTGTTCCTGTTTCTAATTATTTATCTGACTACAGATTGTATTGATAGTTGATTGAATAATACTGACCGTATCTTAAAATAACAATGTAAAGCTCACACTGTATAGTGATAGGTTTATTGCTCATTTTTCTACTAATTTTCTGGGATAGTTTATGATCTTTAGGAAGCTGATGTAGTTTAGTATGTGTGCCCTGAGAAACTTAACTGCAGATTTGTTCACTTGCATGTGGTAAAGAAATAATGTTGTACTTCACATATTATTGCATTCCAACTTGTCTGTAAATGGTGAGGGACAAAGACTGTTATTCAGCAACAATTAAAGAGCCTCCTCCTCTTGTTTCTGTTATTGTTCAGCCATTTCTGATTGTTTACCATTTATATTGTCTGTCAGTAACTGTTTTTTTGAGTTCATGTGAGTTCATGATCATGTCATCTGTGATAGTATCTTTGCACCTGCTCTTCTGTTGGCTTCTTTTTTTAATTGTCTTTGATTTTCCTTGGATCAGGATTTTCTTCTTATTATATATCCAAATATTGAAGCTTTATTAGTGCTTCCAGTGAGTAGTCTGATTTTACTTTATCTTATATAGAATGATTTGTTGTCCTTATAGTCCAAGTTATTCTCAACATTTAATTCAAGGACCTCCATTTTCCTTTAGCTTTTCTGATGGTCCAGCTTCCATATCCATATGGCTAGAACTAGGAAACCATGACCTAGACAATATATACTTCTGTTGTCAGTGGGATACCTCTCTGTATGTTGTTTAGATTTATCTAAGTAGATGTTTCTTTATTTTGAGGCTGCCTGTGAATGTGTGAACCTAGGAAGCTAAATTTTATCTTACTATAATCACTTTCTTCATCTATTTTCACTAGATTGGCATTGCCTGTTGATGTTGAGTTTTTAAATGCTAAGCAGCAGATTGCTTTTGCATTCTTTTATTGTGGCTTAAAAGAAATTTGTAAAATCTTCATCATTTCTAGTCATTAAAGTGAAATCACTTATTTGATGTTGCTGATCTTTATTCCATTTTTTAAACTTCTATTTCTATTTTGCCTAATTTAGCCATTCTTATGATATGTCCAACAAATGAGTTATTGGGGCACTTTTTCCCACTTTAGTTGCTATACATCTTATTTTAACAATTACTATCTTGTCTTCATATAAACTCTTCAGCCTGGCACACCCATGTATCTAATGTGCTGTGATTTTCACATTTGAAAGACATTGATTAATCAATAAACAAAAATAGATTTGAAATTACCTTACCTTTTTCATTATCCATCAGATGTTAACAGTGGGATATCGGGTCCCTCTTTCTCTTCTAAATTCAACTTTCATGAACTTCTTAGATGTTTCAGACAGAGGTGCTTAGCTTCAATCATGTGGCTCTATTGTAGGTGTACAAGGCACAGTTATTTTCCTTTCATCATATTAATTTCATCACAAGTGAATGTTGTAGTGTACTGGGTTATTATTGTTATTGGATGATTAAGTATGATTGTGATTATGTATTGCTACTCAGTTACCTTGGCCAGACCATATATGCTATAATTCTTACAGAATCAGTGGTGTTAGTTCTTCTAGAAGTTTCAGTAAATCAAGCAGAACAATAATCTATTGTGTAGAGAAGCTATGATAAATTAGGACTAGGGAGAGGCTTCTCAAGCAACAGTAAAAACAAGCAAGCAAAAGAAGAATTTACTAGTTGACTGTGTAAAGTTCCATCCTTGCCATGAAAATGTTCCCTGATGCACATTGTGGGTCAGACCATGAACTGTTATCTGTGAAGATAAAGTTCAAGTGTTGCAGTGTCAAACGACCACTCATGATTCAGAAATTTGATGTCAAAAATATTCCCCTGGCATATGCAGTTGAAGTCGAGAAATGATTTGAACTGCTCAACATCACAGAAAGACAACCAGATGAGCTATGGAGGAATAAAAACAACCATCATTGAAGTAGCCCAAGAAAATATTATATACAAGAAGTCAACAAAATTGGCCAGATGGATATCAGAAACTACAATAGAGACTGCAGAAGAGAGAAGGAAAACAAAAGCCATTGGTAACAGGGAACAAATGTGAAGACTAAATGCAAAGTTCTAGATAGAGACAAGAAAAGATAAAGAAAAGTAGTGCACTGAGCAATGTAAAGGAAGCAGCCATGAGAGGTCATACAAGAAACCTTATGTAAGGAAGGCCAGAAACCCTTCATGGCAAGAAAGGCTATGGTCAGAGGACATGATGGGCAGGAATTGGATGTCCAACAAGCACTCAGAGAAAGATGGCGGGAATATGCAGAACAACTTTACACAAGCAAAAAACAAGGACAAGCCATAAGAGGAGAAGCTGACCTACCAGAAATGGAATCAGATATTCTGGAGAAGGAAGTAGTGTGGGCACTCAATCAGCTGCCTAATTGCCAAGCCCCAGGAGTTGATGGAATTCCTGCAGAGTTGCTGAGACTGCTGCCAACAAAGGCACTGACATTGCTGTGGCAAAGTGCATGGAAGTTTAGTCAGTGGCCAAAGAATGGAAATGGTCAATATTTATCCCAGTATCAAAGAAAGGTGATACAAAAGACTGCTCCAACCACCAAACTATAGCTTTGATACCACATGTGAAGATAATCCAGCAATGTTTGAATCCAACTGCCAACAGAGAACTGCCACATTTACAAGCAGAATTTGTGAAAGGAAGAAGAATGCATGATCATATTGCCAGTCTAAATTGGATGATGAAAAAAGCAAAGGAATACCAAAAGGAGCTGTACCTATGCTTCATTGACTACACAAAATCCTTCGATTATGTTGACCATGATAAGTTCTGGAACTGCCTCAAAGAACTGGAAATATCATCACACCACATCCAGTCAGTCATTGTACTCTGATCAGGCAGCCACTGTAAGAACAGAATATGGAGACACAAAATGATTCAGAATTGCACCCTGTCACCTATACTATTCAACATGTGCACAGAAATATAAGAAATGCTCATTTGGAGGAATCTATTGTTAGGTTAAAATCAGTGGTTGGACTGTCTACAACCTACAGTATATGCAGATGATACAACATTGCTTGTGGAAAACAAGGAAGATCTGGAGTAGCTAATCCTGAGAGGCAAAGTTGAAAGTGAAAAATTTGGACTGCATCTTAACATCAAGAAAATAAAGATAATGACAACTGCAGAGAACACACAGGTCAGAGTGTAGATCTACAATGAAACCATTGAAACAGTAAAGGAATTCATCTTCCTGTACTCTAAAATTGACCAAAGTGATGACTGCAGCCCTAAGATCAGAAAGCATGTAGCACTTGGAAGTACTGCAATGTCTGGCATGAATAATATTTCGAAGAGTAAAGACATCAGCTTCACAACCAAATGCAGATCAGTTAGCACAACAATTTTTCCAAGTACTATTTATGGCTGCAAAACCTGGACTCTGAAAAAGTCAGATAGGAGAAGGGTAGATAGACACCTTTGAACTGTGGTACTGGAGGCGACTATTACGCATCCCAAAATAACAAACAAATCCTAAACCAAACCTCACCAAAAATATCACTTCAGCCAAGATCGCCAAACAGAAACTGTCATACTTTGGTCATGTCATGAGAGCTGACTCACTCAAAATTTCAGTCATGCTGGAAGTGATCAGAAAAAGGAGAAGGAACCATCCTGGTGACCGTTGGCTTGACACTTAAAAGGATGATACCAGGATGACCATGGCAAATCTGAAGGAGGCAGTGCAAAACAGAGGGGCATGGAGAGTACTGATCCATAGAGTGGCTGAGGGTAAGACAGGACTGAATGGCTGATAATGGCTGATGGCTGACAAGAGGGAACCTAGCAGAAGGCCTCACTTTATTGATAAGATTAATGTGTTTGATAGTGACATAGATGACTGGAAATCTAAGAAAGCCGTTAAAACTCTCCTGTTCCGGCAGGCCTGGGGCTGATGTCCCCGGGGGGGGGGGATATGATCGGACTCGCGGTATGATTGTATTATTTTATTGTTTTATTGTTGATGATTGTTTTAATTTTGTACACCGCCCTGAGTCCTTTGGGATTGGGCGGCATATAAATAAAATGAAATAAACAAACAAACAAACAAACAAACAAAAATATAATTAAAAACCTATTTTGGAGAGAAGATAGAGCTGAAGGGATCTTGGAGGTCTTCTAGTCCAACTCCCTGCCCAAGGCAGGAGTCTTTATACCATCCCAGACAAATGGTTGTCCAATCTTTTTTTGAAAACCCCCAGCAATGGAGCACCCACAACGCCAGAAGGCACACTGATCCATGATAAATTGTTTTTACTGTCAGAAAATTCCTCCTTATTTCCATATTGAATCTCCCTCTAACAAACTTCCATTTGTTGCTTCTGCCCTCAGTTGCAATAAAGAATAAATCAACACCCTCTTCCCTGTAAAAGAGCGAGATGAGCAGCTAACTAACTAACAAACAAATAAATATTAGCATCTATATTGTGAAAACAGGTATACCAGGCCTCTGGGCATCTGATTGACTGAGGAATGGAGTTCCATTAACAAACTTTATGTTACTTCAGTCCATAGATACCATTAAAATTAAGCTGAGAAGAATATTGCATGATACTATGCCTGTATTAAAAATGCTATTATCGCACTCAAACATATCAAAGATAAAATACTTTTCAGGAGTTTACAACACATTAAAGTTTCATGAAGCATATCCATTCATCATATCTGAACATTGGATTGGATAGAAGCTGAGAGAAGTCTTTCAAAAGTTGTAGCTAAAAAAATTAAAACCATCAGGACTTACGGTGATTTTAAAGTTTCCATTAATCCTCTGTTACAGGTGAACAATGCCTTTTGTCTAGAATTTAGAGTACTTTTGCTAAATGTGCTGCATTTCAGCAAAAAAGATCTAGCAGAGGCTTATTTGCAGATGGAGACTGAAGAAAGTTTCAAGGTGTTTCCACCTCCATAATTGCAAGCAAAGGATTGTATCATTGTTACAGACTTTGAGGTTTTTAAATTATTATAACAAATCTTGTGAAATTTAGCCACTTTGCTCTATGCCAGGGGCCCCCAACCCCCAGGCCACAGCCCACTACTTAGCCCTGACCTGCTTGGAACCAGGCTGCGGAGCTGGCAGGTGAGTGCACACACACGCACCCCCACTATTTGCACGAGCCACAGGTGAGCATGGCTGCCGCTCCTGCAAACAGAGCTGTGTGTGTGAGTGCTTGCTGCCATCTCCTCCCTCCATCGGCTGCAGAAGTGGGTGAACCCGTGTGCATACATCCCCACTTTTGCAGGCAGTGTGCGAGTGCTTGCACACACACACACACACACACACACTATTTGTGGGGCTCAATCTCCCTCCCTCCGGTCCACAAAGCTGGAAAGGTTGAGGAACTCTGCTCTATGCCTTGAATATTTTACTACAAGTGGAGTGTGCATATATAAGCAAGTTTTCACAAAAAGCAAATGACATAAAGTTATACATTAAATATTGTAACCCCTGCTTACCAGTGGAATTGACTAGAAATGCTTCACAATATATCATTAATACAGTTATATCACACATTATGAAAGACAGTAGTGAATGGTAGTTTTTGCATCATTCTTACAGCTGCATAAAAAAGTACATACAAATAAAGAGGATAGTATTAAGTTTTGGTAAAATGTTTAAACCAGGATTTATATCATCACTCATCATCAACCACAAGTGTCAATGCTTAGTCCACAAAAAGGAATTTCCTTTATAGTAGCTGCTGAAATGCAACATTAAGGGTATAAAATAGAATTTAAATAGATAATCACACAGAAATTTATCTCATGAATCATACAAGGTAAACAGTCTGAATAATCTACATCAGATGGCGAATCTTTGACATGCTTTCTCTGATAGAGATAAAAAGTTTTCCTTCAAAATGATTCAAGCAGCAACCAGGGGTGATCCAACACTATTTCAGATCTACATGGCAACACAAACTGGCTGGAATGCAAACATAATCTCAGTCCTTGGAGTTTTAACATTTCCATGATGAATTTTGACTTAACAGCTGTTGCATAATGTGAGGGTTGTAAATAGTAATAATACTTCAGTTGAGAGCTTAAGTGTTGAAGGAACTACATGTTGGATATCTTGGATAGTAATGATGAAGACATAACTTGTAGTTTGGTGGCTGGAAACAGATCAGCAAACTGAACAGTTTTCAATGAGTTGTTCAAACTTTCATC